TTTTGTTGTTGAGACTGGGTCCTACTATTTAGTTCAGGATGGTCTGGAACTCACAAGCCTCCTACCTTAGCCTTTTAAATACTAAGATTATAGGCCTTCATGATTCAAAGTTATACGAATTAGAAAAAGGAAGAAGAGGAGGGAAAACAGGAGGAGGTGAAGAGGAGGAGAAGAGAGAAAATGAAGAGGAAGATAATGAGGTTACTTCCTCAATGTCACTAAGGTAAAAGTGGGCATTAAACCCAGGTATGGCTGGCTTGTAAACCCACATGTGTTCTACTATACCACTCTATCTTGAAACAACACTAAGATGTCTAAAGAGCCCCCCAGGGATGCCTCTGGGAATGATTCATATTCTAATTCAAGTGTGGCTAAGCCAAGTCCCTCATTTTCCATGGATACAGCATGCCCTGATCTCTTTCTAGCAATGTTTTCTAAGATGTTCAATCAATACCAATCTTACCCGTGGGCTTTTGCTTTTCTTATTATTTCTTTGATCTTCAATTTCATTATGAACATTCTACTTTCACTACCTCCCTTCCTAGTTATTTCTCAAATATAGATATACAGTAATGGATAAGATGGGTTGTGGGGCAGGTTCTAACAGGAACATAGGCTCCCATTAACTGCTGCTGCCCAAGGTTCACTGGTCATCTCAGCATGGCTCATTCTGACAAGGGTAATTCTGTAGCCTTCAGGGCAGAAGCACAGGTTTTATCTGTTTAATTCCTGCTCTGAATTAGCTAGTGTACCCTGTGATTCTATCCCAAGATCAGCATCTCTGTGACAATGTTACCAGTGTACTCAAACTGGTTGTGAAGCGTTCTCTGGAGTGCCCAACCACCCTCGTGATTATAAGGCTAATCAGTCCATTTCATTCTGAAGAGCCAAGTTAGACCTAAAATAGATGAGGATAATTTTCTGCTGGCAACATCTGATCACAACCAAAGTAGTTCACAGGACTCAGCAATCTTTATGAAGAAAAAAGGGAGGGGGAAGGAAAGGACACAGAGGAGACCCGGGGAAGACAGGAGAAGTAAACTTTTGGGTCACATATTCCCATCTTGCTTAGTTTAGTGTAATTCAGTGGAACTAGCACTTGGAGGACCAGCTATTATAGCTTGCATATGAAGACTCATATCCTCACTCAAGACTCATTCATTGTAGGCTTGATTCTGTATGTAGCAATGGTCAGGGGTGTGACCTTGAAAGGTGGTTGAATCATGAAGGCATTAACCTGGTGGATGGATTGATGATCCATTGATGAGTTCCTAACTGAACGGGCTGTTAAAATTCAGAATCTTGCTACACAAAGTAGGTCAGTGCGAGCATACTCAGGAAGGTTAGGGCTTGTCCCTGCCTCCCCCCTTTTCCCTCTTGTCCTTCCTGGCTGCCATAGGTGAGCATCTTTGTTCTACCATGTGCCCCCATCATGATTCTCAGTCTCACCCCAGGCCTAAGGCAATGGGGCCCAAGGTCCACACAGCCTCACTGGGGCGCAGAGAAACAGGGCCAAGGGTCCATGGATTGAGGCCTCTGACACAATAAACCATAGCACACCATTCCTTTTCAGGCATTTTGTTAAAGTGACAGAAAGCTGATGATCACATCAAATAAGCCCTCACCACTGAACTACACTAGAAACACAAGGATGGATGACTTGGGTACCTTAAAACAAGTGTTACCAAGCAGCCCTGGGGTTAGAGAAAGGGCTGACTACAAACAGGACCAGCTCAGGGATCATTTAGTGTTCGCCAACTCAGACTGGAACAGACTTTGGTCCCTTCTGAACGTAACTTAGAACTCATATCACACTAATTGTCAAGCCTCTTTACTGAATATTGAATCACTGAATGCTGAATACTGACTACTCCTGTTGCACAAACATTTTCTTGATGGGTAATCCATCCATTCATGCAGTAAATATTTATCAGGAACTAAGCACCCGGCATCACTGAAACAGTGATGAACACAACCAGCCCCAGCTATGGTCCACACACTACTGCTTGCAGTCCAGGAAAATAAGCAGTCAGAGCCACAGATTGTATCCAGGCAATCTTATTTGACCCTCATAACAAACCTACAAGGCAG